CCCTTGGACGATGACTTGTACAGATGCACCTGGCATCACAGCAGGCGATATGTCAAGTGGTAAAGTGTTAACTGTTATTTGCATAAGTTGTTAATGTACACTTTTGAGAGAAAAACAAGCATGTTTGTTTTCAAGTGTTCTGGAAATTATTCATTATATCTGGAACACAATGGCGGAGCAATGCATATCTTGGTGATTAAATTTGGCCAGGTTTCACATTGACTTCATGGTCACGAAAACTTTCTGCGAATAAGTTTATGTACATAAGAAAGAAAGAAGTTTCAATTGGCAATATAACTTCATATCTTTTTTTTTTACACTCTGCAAACAAGTGTCGCAAATCTCAAGAATTTGATTTATTTGAAGCAGATCCAAAGCCTGTACTTCTTGTCATTCTCATGGGTGTACAAGCGCAACTGAAGGAACCCATGTAGACACCAGTGGAAATGTTATAGTGCTCACTGTAGACAGCTAATTAGACAGCTAAGTGGACGGCGGCCTGCCAAAGTCCCATTCCAAGTCTCACGTAGCCGGTAAAATAGACATGTCCGAGAAGACGACATCGCAGACAAAAACGATGCAGGCTACTTTGCTGTCCGAACAAGGTGGCGGCATAGTGAATCACTCGGATAGCACAGATCTCGCCGGAATGGTCATCTGCACACAGGCAGACGCTTCTAAAGACACTCAGTATGAGTGATATTCAAGTTTTTTAAGATCTGAACAGGAAATAAGCTAAGAAAAATAACAGTTATGTTTGTTTATTTTTGCTTTCTTTTCTCGACGCCTATTTTTCTTTGCTTTCTTTTCTTTCTTTTCTCGTTTCATTTCGTCGCATAGAAGCCATCCAGGCATGTTCCATTTCTGAGACACGTGCTCGGTGCTCTCTGCTAAACTGTCAGCGTAGACTGTCTACGATGCTGTCTAGAATTGGAACAAAGCCAGTGCCAAATTTTCTTTAGGTATTATTCTATGAAACTCTGTCTCTTAGTAAGTGAAAATCTCTTGAACAGCGTTGCTGAATAAATGGAACAACTGCCTCTGACACGATTGGTTTCATACATGAATTCGGCATCTCTTTTGATCTCTCGGTCAATGGAACTCTTGTTAACCAGAATGACCCTTCAGGTGGTCCCTTCAGGTTTCGTTTAACGAAAGTTTACTGTATCAGTCTCGCCGTAGTATGTCTTTCCAGCTCGGCACGGCAGCCAGTTCAGCGAGTTGCTTGAGTTCTGTAAGCGTGTAAATTCACTTGACAGTCGGCAGAAAAGGAGGTGATACACAGGTTACACATGCTCTTATTCTTTTGAATCAGATTCCAGCCAAATGCTTCATCTTATATATGGCACCTCTGAACGTGCTCGCTGCACTCATGCAGCATATAAACTGAAGTCCTGTTCTGTCATCTCAGAAGATACAATGATGTCTTTCTCTTTGTATATTATGTTAACTCAGTAGTGAGCCATGACAGTTGTGTTTAGCAAGTCTAAATTAGTGCTACTGTCAAATTTGAAAGTGCAGTTTTTTGTACCTTCAGGCAATTCGCATTGACAACAATGTTGATTTTTAGTGCAATCTGTGAAAGTCGAGCTTGTCTTGGAGAGATCACTTGGCAGACTCTGCAGTAAGGTTACATTTGTACTTGATTTGTTGTGCTTCCTTCAGTGTAGCATTATCTGATTACTGAAATTTTTAGCATTGTCCTATATTACACCAGTGGTTTGTGGTGGCTATAAGGTTGTCAAATCTCGCATTGGGGTCGTTCCACGCCAAACATCCCAACCATTTTGGGGAACATCTCAAACGTATTCGAAAAAATTGTGCTGCATTGTAAACAGTAAAACAGTAGAATATTTCAAAAAGAAAAAAAATTTTTGCTCACGTGGCTGCCTTTCGAACATCCCGGAATGTCGTTTGGGTGTTTGTGGAAAAATTTATTTTAAAAGTACGGCTAATTTTTTCTATACCAAAATCAATCTACATATTAATTAGGTGGTTGTGTAAGGTGTTTGAAGCTCACTAATATTAGTGCCATTTTACTGGCACATGTGCCTCCAAGAATTTAGCCAAAATGTGTTATGTTTGCATTTTTTCTATTGCAATGCTGCATTTTGTATGAAATTTGAGTAGTGAATACTTAGTCCACACAAGGTATATTTTTAAGAAAAAGTATTTTTAGACCTTTCAAGCTTCCAAAGTCTACGAGAAAAAATGATAAATTCTGCAAGCTTGTCATTTTTGTCCATATTAAGACGCTATTTGCATCATGTGGCAGTCCAATTAAAAATTGGCTTTACATCTAAATCACAAGCAAATAAATCATTATTTTCATATGGTAAATCTTGTCATTACTTTTTTGTTTTAAGGAAGAAAATAATTTTTGAACTTTCCCATTGTCACCTATCTTCAAATTCGTTAATACGACAGCTGCCACCTTGAAATTCCGCATTGCCGTCAATGGGAAAGTTCAAAAATTATTTTCTTCCTTAAAACGAAAAATGCAATGATAAGATTTGGCACATGAAAAGAATTGTTTATTTGCTCTCGATTTAAGTATAGAGGCGATTTTTAATTGGACCACCACATGGGGCAAATTGCATCTCAATATGGACAAAAAATGACTGTATGTGAAATTAGTAAATTTTTTTCGTAAATTTTAGCAACTTGAGAGGTCTAAAAGTTTTTTTCTCAAAATGTACTTTTTGTGGAGCAAGTATTCATTACTCAGATATTCACCAAAATGCAGCATTGCAATAGAAAAAGTGCAAACATAACACATCTTGGCTAAATTCATGGAGGCATATGTATCAGTAAAATTGCACTAATATTACTGAGCCTCGAACATCCTACACAAGCATCTATACTTAACATGTAGACCAAATTTGGTATAGAAAACAGGAGCCGTACTTTCAAAATAAATGTTTCAACAAACACCCAAGTGACTCAGGAAGTTCAGAAGTCGGCCACGGGACCGAATTCTCTCGGAAATATTTCATCGTTGCACTGTTTTCAATGCAGTAAATCGGCACAATTTTTTTCAAATACTTTTGAGATGGTCGACAACATGGCTGGGGCAGTTTGGCATGGATATCGGAGGACCCATTTTAAACATTTTAAAGTACCAGTATGCAGTGTGTGATGCCTTAGCAGTAACTGCAGGCATTATATACATAGCTGTCAATTTCTGAAATGTGCTGTTCCATTTACTTGGTGGCCGATAGGTTTGGTTTGCGATTCCATATGATCCGTATAATTCTCAACATGAAAGGAACACTAAAGCGAAACATTAAATCAATTTAATTGATAAATTTCACTCTGAGAAACTCTAAAGTCATTAAGTTCACCATGTTATGCTCATAATAAAAGAGAAAACCAAGGTCAAAGTTTCATTTTAAATTTAAGTCTTTACATAATTCAAAGTGTTTTTTTTTTTATATTGAGAACATTGGCTTCATGAAATTTTATATACTCAATATGTCTTGCCTACGGCCCTTTAACTACTTCAATGTACTTCATTTTCGCCTATTTGGAACTGTGTAGGACCTAGTAAATGTTATCAAAATCTGTGACATCATGGCATTTATGCAGGAATTTTAAAGTGGTGTCACTACCCGCATTTTTTTTCCAGACATTTTCTTTCTGACCAAATGACTTCTCGAGGTCAGAGTTGTGTTTTCGATATTGTTGAATCGTAATTTACTTATTCACTAAAAATTGTTCTCTTTAGTTTTTCTTGTAAGCTTTGTACCTTATGTTACACAGTGCCACTTAACCTACTTTTGCTTGTATGGCATTGGTTTTTTGTCTGCCGATGTGAACAGTCATCTTCGCAATGCCTGTCATGTATCAAACAAACTGCGAAGTTCACCGGGTCTTTCATTGTAATAGAAAAAGCTTTGTTAATGGCTGGGACTCTCAGATGTGTCGAACAGGCACTTATACTGCAATTTGAGCCATACAGGGAATGCGTCTTGTCACTTCCATTTAACTTCTTTTGGGCAGACTTGTACAATCAGGTAATAAAAAAAAGAAGTAACCCTGTAGGGTCTAGTCTTTGTATATGGTACTGCTGAAACACCTGTGTTGTTGCCTTAACATTTAATCGCATCCAAGATGGAGCAGGCGAAATTACCTTCAACTTTTAAAGCTGTCTACATGCGATGTGTCAAGCACAATTGCTTAATAAAAGTGTGTGAGTGGGAACGAGGTATTGTATGTCAAAGCAGGTTATGGTTATTTTGTTTTAGTGTTGTGTTGCATGCGTTTTGGCATTTGACAGCCAGCAGTTGCAAAGACGCAATCTTGTCATTATGCTTTCATGAATTATATATTTTTGGACTTTCTGAGAATTTGCATTTGTCAAACTGTGGTTTGGTTTTTGTCACTTCTAAATGATTTTACACTATTTTGCTCACACTTGATGTACAAGTATATAGTTTTGAAACAAAGAGGAAGGCTTGGTGGATAGAAAAGTGCGGTTCATTTTGAGGGGCATCACTTCACACTTTCTGTTGAATTCTCCAACACACTGTTAATTACATTTAGTTAAGCCTTCCTTATTAAAAAAAGTTAATATACTTGAAAGTAGTACCCAAAGTGCTGCAAGAGACCAGCTTTTGTCCTGTAGCTTTGAATGTGCTTCCATGGAAAGTTGTCTACAAATTTTAGGCATCAAGTATAATTTATTCTCAACTCCTTAGCATAAAACATCCGTATAGCATGCAAATACTATGTTATGTTTCCTTCTCTGGTACATGATATCAAAAATTTTATTATAGCATTACCTTGGTAATTGACTTGATTTTGTGGTTTGGGTAGCTTGTTTTCCCAACGTCAGTTGAGCAACACTGCAGTTACTCCTTTTAACATTATTATCTAAAACTTAAGTGGTAAATAAGAGTCATTTTAAGGCTTAAGTGTTAAAATCATTTGCACAGTATTGAGTTGACAGAGACCAGTTCATACAAAGTCCTCTCGCGTTTCTCCTGCCTTGCTTGCAGAAGGCAACGAGCCAACATGCCTTCAGACCTTAAAGGAAATGACCTTCAGCCTGCCATCGTCACACAACACGGCCACCTACATGCATAGCCGCATGGTCACGGCAGCAGGTCGCAGCCCGTTCAGGCGCGAGCTGCAGCGCATCAGGGCGGTGGTTCGCTACAATGCTGCATCGGCAACCTCCAGCGGAGGAATGGCCGTGCCGGAGCGGAACATGGCTGCCTCTCTCCTGAAGTCGTTCATTGCCACCTGTGCCCAAAGAGGTTTGCTCGCAAGCACGTGCTTGAGAACCACATCCGAACGCACACAGGCGAGCGACCGTTCCAGTGTCCATCCTGTCAGAAGGACTTCGCTCGCAAGGACTACCTCAATTACCACGTGCGGCAGTGCCGTCTAAGACGAGCTAGGTTGCCCGCTGCAAACTCTCACACAAATAGTGTGTACGATGAGTGTAGCTGAAAACACGATTAGAAAATTCCATAGGCATTCCTCCATGCAGGGAGCGAAGCTTTAAATACAAACCTAATGACATAATAATTGGTGTGGCATGCGGCCTTGTAGGTTTTGTAAAATCAGATTTTAGAAATCTGCATTCAACATGACAAATCGTGGAAGCTGCCAGAAGTATCGCTGTAGGACATTGACTAAGAGATTGGCGACACCTCTCGTGATTCGTATTTGACATTATTTCGTTACATGCATGTTTGAGAGCCCCCCTGTAGCAGTCCTGGTTGCTGGCTGCTCTTGTCAACAGTACTCGAACTGTTTCGGCTCAGCCTGGTTTTTGGTCTTTATCAAAGAATAGTTCAGTGAAGATATAACCCCATGCAAGTGCTTTAAATCGTCAATAAACTCATTAGAACTGAGCAATATGAAAAGCAAGTCTTATTATTGGCGGGCATATAATAGACTAAACCTTTCGCATATTTGCTTTGTGTTCTGCCGCATGGTTGGTTTGAAATTAGTATGCGAAAACATAAGTATGTCACATGGATTGGGCGTGTATAAGTCGTAGCCTTTCTAGAAAGCAGCGTGCCACTCCTATTGTGTTTCTTGGGGCTCACTGCCCGGTGTAGAGTCTGAAATGGTGTACACCTTTTTGATTCTATAAGTACTCTGCTTTTTAAAGTGAACCAAATGGGTATATTACTTTACACTGATTGAGTATCTTGAAATACTTTTGTCGCACATCTAGTACAAAAGTGACTACAAGGTTGCACAGGGTATTGACACCACATTTTTCACTATTTTCTTCTTCTTTATGTATCAAGTGTGGGAAACCCTCTAAGCTGTAAAAGAATGTATTGAAAAGCATAGAAGTTCTGTATATAACTCGGTATAACAGTTTTTTTAGCTTTAATTTTAATGTGTGATTAATTAGTGTATCTTTGCCCTCGGTGTCTCAATAAACTGGCTCACTCCGTTCTCGCCAGAACTGTGGCAAACACACATGTGAAACCAGATTGAAGATTGACTAAGCGTAGGTAGCACCCCAGTGTACCTTTTCATGAACGTGATCTTTTTGTTCTTGGTAGTTTTATGACTACACAATCTAAGCAGTGATCTTGGTCATGATGTAACTATTTGTCTGTAACACCAGGCTTGGCACATTTGAGAATTAATATTACATATCTCTATTGCAAAAACAGCGAGATGCCAGTACGTTTTTTTGGCACTGGTACACGCTGGAGACACTGGTACACGCTTGTAATCACTGGCACTTCACTGGGCGCACTGGGAAAAAGCTGTGTCGCACTGGTAGGGGTGCTGGTTCAACCGCTGTGATGCTGGTGCGCACTGCGAAGCGCTGGAAGTGCTGGAATTTTTACTGGCAAGCGCTGGTGAATACTGGAACAGCAACTGTTTCTACCAGCGCAGCTGCAGCGTGCGTGTTATGGTAGCGCATGCCGTGGTTTGTTTCGGTGTCGTTGAATATAAAACGCTTGATTCGACAGCAGGGAGAGATGCTACCCTAACAGATACCGAGCATACGTAATTTTTGCGGTGCACGCACGCATCGCAACAACTGCAATCACCTTTTTTGCATATGCCTCCGCGTAAACCGGCCATATTCGCACCATCCGCGTATTGCTGTAACGATTTCAAATTGCAGTGTTTGTAAGCCTGGAGCTGCACGCCACTCCTAACAGAAACGGGAAATTGTTTTTGCCGCAAAGTTGAGAAACATAAATGAGATTGGTATAGAGATTAGCGTTCCTTGACATTCATACCGGAAAGTTGTATATTTTTGTGCATTGAGCATACGAAAAAGATTTTCGAAGCTTGAAATTGGAATTCTCTGTCAACACTATGCTTAAAACAGACTTCCTCCTGAGGCAAGTTTGGGAAGAGCGCAGGGATAATTGAATATGGAGAAATCATCATCATCATCAACCTTACTATGCCGACTGCAGGGCTAAGGCCTCTCCTATGATCCGTCAATCAACCTGTTCTTGTGCTTTTTGTTGGCAGATTATACCTGCGAACTTTTAAATCTCAATTGGCCTACCTAACTTTCTGTCTCCCCTTCTTACATTTGCTTTCTATAGGACTCCAGTCAGTTACCCTTAATTACCAGCGGTTATCCTGTCTATGTGCCCGGCCCATGTCCATTTCTTCTTGATTTCAACTATGATATCCTTAGCCCCGGTTTGTTCCCTGACCCACTATGCTCTCTTCTTGTTTCTTAAGGTTGCACCTACCATCTTCCTTTCCACTTGCTCGCTGCATGGTCCTCAATTTAAGCTGATCTCTCTTTGTAAACCTCCAGATTTCTGCTTTGTAGGTAAGAACCGGCAAGATGCAGCTGTTATATGTCTTCTTTTTGAGGGATAGTGACAGACTACCATACATGATTTGAAAACGCTTGCTGAATGTGATCCATCCACATCCTTCTAGTTATTTCACTCTCATGGTTTGGCTCTGTGGTTACAACCTATCCTAAGTAAGCATATTCCTTTACAACTTCCAGCGTCTCGCCATATATCACAAAGTGCTGTTCTCTGGTGAGACTGTTGCACCTCATTTAGTTCTGTGCATATTAACTTTCAGTCTTACTTTTCTGCTTTCCATGTCCAGTAATTATGAGCTGTAATTCGTCCCCTGAGTTACTCATCAAGGCAATGTCATCAGCAAATCGCAGGTTACTAAGATACTCTCTATCAACTCTTATCCCTAACTCTTCCCAATCTAGGGTTCTTAAAACCTCCTGTAAACAGGCGGTGAATAGTGTTAGGGAGGTCGTGTCTCCCTGTCTCATGTTCTTTTTTATTGTGGTTCTGTTGCTTTTTTTATGTAGAACTATGGGGGCTGCGGATCCACTGTAGATTTCTTTTAGTATATCTATGTAGGGTTTTTCGATGCCCTGATACCGTTGTGACTGTATTACTGCTGATTCCTTGATTGAGTTAAATGCGTTCTCATAATCTACGAGCTATGTATAGGGGTTGGTTGTATTCCGCACATTTCTATATTACCTGATTGATAGTGTGAATATGGTCTATTGTGGAGTAGCCTTTACGAAATCCTGCTTGGTCCTTTGGTTGATTAAACTCTAATGTTATGTCGCCTGAATTCTATTAGCTATTATTTTTGTAAGTAGTTTGTAGAGAACGGACAGTAAGCTGATCAGCCGATACGGTAATTCATCAAGTCCTTGACGTCTCCTTTCTTATGGATTAAGATAACGTTGGCGTTCTTACAAGATTTTGCTACCCTTCCTGTCAAGAGACACTTCTTATATATGGTGGCGAGTTTTTCTAACACTATTCCTCCCCATCTTTCAAGAGGTCTGTTGTTACCTTATCTGCACCAGCGGCTTTGCCTTTTTGCATTCCTTCTAGAGCTTTCCTTACTTCCCTTGTCGTTACTGGTGGGATGTCGAATTTCTCTGGACTATGTATTATTGTTTCTCATGATATCGTCTTGGTTGTTTTGGCTTGTGTACAGCTTTTTGTAGAACTTCTCCGCTACCTCAACTATTCTATCCATATTGGTTATGACGTTGCCTTTCTTATCTTTCAATGCATACATCCAATTTTCACCTATGCAGATGTTTGCCTTCATAGCGTTTAGGCTTCTGCCAGTTTTTACTGCCTGCTCGATTCTCTCCATGTTATACCTTCTAATATCGGCTACCTTACGCCTATTGATTAACTCGGAAAGCTCCGCTAGCTCAATTTTTTTCGATTGTATTTGAGGCTTTCATGGTTTGCCGTCTCTTGATGAAATTTTCCATCTGCTGAGATAGTTTGCCATTGTCTTGTCTAGTGACTGTACCTCCGACTTCCATTGCACACTTTTTGATGATACTAGTAAAATTATCATTCTTTGTGTCAACGCTAACGCAGGTTACGTTTAGAGCCGTGAATTTATTTTGAAGCGAAACTGAATTTCTGTATTTTTCCTCTTACTGCTAGCTCATTATTTGGCTTCTTGTGTATCAGTTTATGACTTTGGTTTTTTTAAATCTTGGTGAATACGAGCTCCTATACCATTCTATGGTCACTCCATCGGATCATGACAAGTACTTCTATGTGCTGTACAATGCCTGGGTGTGCACACAGAATGAAGTCTATTTCATTTTTGTTTCGCTATTAGGACTTTGTCACGTCCACTTACGATTAGCCTGTTTTCTGAAGAAGGTGCTCAAGATCTGTAAACTATTATGTTCTGCGAAGTCTACTAATAACTTCCCTCTGGCATTTTTATAGCCGATGCCATATTCCCCCACTGCATGGTCTCCGGCCTGTTTCTCTCCTACTTTCGCATTAATGTCGCCCATCAGGACAATATACTGTCTTTATTACTTGTATTGCAATAGCAATTATATGGACACTCTCGGCTGGATTTCGCCATCGGCATCAGTGTCGATGTCATGCACCATATATGTATACATATCTATATATATGAAAACACAAGAAAGAAAAAAAAAATCCCAGAAAAAAGACTCCGGTGCGCGGAATGGAACGTGCGACCTCCGCATCGTGAATGCGAGGCGTTATTGACTGAGCCACCGAGAGGTACCTCCTTGAACGTTCAAACGGCAAGCTTTTCATATTTACCACTTACCGCTGTTGGCGGGCATATCGGAGGGGGGGGGAGAGACCATTGTGTTTTCAGCATTATTAGCAAGATGGCGCAGTGAGGGCACGGTGGCTCTCATCTCTCACGCGTACTTTGGCCCGTGTAAAAAATAAGGGGGTGTGCGCTCGATCGCGTGCCCTTATCTTGCAGTGGGGAGGATCGTACCACTTGACTAGCC